GGAATGATTAAGGATATCCGTTTCATAAAACTTTACGCCACCACTCGTATTTTTGCTCCCTTCCGTCTTGCGTCATTCGTCTATGAATGACTTAAAAGAAATCTGCATTCAGAGGATCCGTTGCAATCGTTTTTCATGTATTTTTCTCAGCTCTCGGATCCCTGGCGAATACACCGAAATCCCAGAAAAATAGAATATTGTTTTTATACGCGAAACGCAGCATTAACATAAAGTAGATGCGGAGGAGGAGCGGCGATAAATACTGAATATTTAAAAAGATCCGCGCTGGGATTCGAAATGAAGCAGTGAATTAAGTTTGATAAGGATGAATGAAAAGGAGAAGAAAAAAAAGCAGCAGTAGTAATGTGTCTGTAGGCATTTTAAGGGTAAGCAAGTTAAACGTTCCGGGTCTGAGCGAGTGCGAAACTTAAAAGATTAATTCCTGAGAGCGGGATGTTAAATCGAGCCGACGTCGAAACCCCGAGCAATAAACATAATTGCTCCAATTTGTCCGACACCAAGTTAATATTAGCCGCCGGAAGGGAGTAAAAGGAAAGAAAGAAAAAAGGAAACTGTCCCAATGATATCTCTTAAAAATGTATATCTAAAGTTTTTTTTATAATATGCTTAGTTATTCTATGAAATATCTAAAACTATTAGACCATAGTTACTGAATTTGATGAATTTCGAAGTCATAAAAAGAAAATAAGATAATTAGTGAATTATCAACATTTCGATAAATTAGGCAGAAAGAATATCTTTTCGTAAATTACACATTTTGCTGATAAAATATATTTGAATTCCGCTTTCGTTTTAATGAGATATTTGATAGCCGGATCTGCGCCGTCTCGCCCAAAGTTCCTGCTAATACGAACACTTCTTGGAGTAAATGTTCTTTCCCAAGTGTGTGTGTTAAATGCAGTTAGACAGACACACATGTTCGAACGAGCGAAATCTAACAAGTGGCCTTAATCAAATCGTGTCAGTCGAATGGATGAAACCTATTTCGGGTTGATGCAATAAAATCTAGGTCCTAAGTTTCCCCCCGTGCAGAAATATCAACAGGATGTGATTTACGTGCATAACGTGCGTCGCATAATCAACCCTCGCGTTCCCGATTTCCTCAATTTTCGATTAAAAGCCCCACACGAAAATACGAACGTGCGAGGCCAAACACTCCCTCGGGGAGATGTAAACATTTCCGCAGGAAATCGCAAAATCCAAATGTCACGGATGTACGATTAACGCGAGATAAATTATAT